TCGTACTGAAATCTGAACACTAGATGGCAGTAGAAGACGGGATTTAGGGCAGAGCAGCACTTCATGCCTAAAAAAAAATCCTGATAACCAACTAATAATCATAATGTCATGTCAGTATATACCTGTATTGTAATAATACATCCAGTGGTTCCAACACTGATAAATTATACCGAAGAAATAAAAAAATCATGTTTAAAACTAAAAATAACACTATCTAATAAAAGAATACATATTTCCCACAGACCAATGAAATGTCACATGACCCTCCTCGGAGACGCCATCTTTGATGGCAGCTCTGCTGTGTTGTGCATTCCATTAAACATGAAGACTGAGAATAAATGTGATATTCAAACGCAAATAGAAAAAGGGCAACATGTTGAGCAAATAAATGTATATTGAATACAATGGCACCACAGTTTAACGTGCAACTGACATGTTTTTTACATATTTGTCAATAAATGCAGCAAAAATTAACAAGCAAAGCAAACATTTCCCAAAAACCTTTATATTTGATACCGTTGGAGCTCCATTTAATTATTTTAATTATATTTAACAATTAATTATAATAAATCTAATGCCACACCGGAGCACTCTGGATTTGCTGTTATTGTTTATTTTCCCGCATTTAGTGTTTTTTTTTATTGTTTTTGACCGTATGTTTTGGTGAATGGGTGGTCAACAGATTTTTCCAGGCGTAAAGAGCAGTTTATTTATTACACAGATCTTTTTACAGAAGCAAATGCTGTTTGTGAACATTGTTTTTAGCCCACCATATAACTATTTCTTATCTATTTAATACATTTACGTTGCCTCTCGAGAGCCTCGCACGCTACAAGAACCCGACATACTCATAATAAAGTAATCTAACGCTAAAATAATGACACTCACATGTTACCAGACTATCAGCATACACAAGGTTAGTACTGAGTAAATTTTCTTCTGGTCAACACATTATAAGATACGATAACGCACACTCACAAAGTGCTCCGAGCATATTGCTTGCTTGTTTTGAGGTAGTTTCTTGCCTGTTTATCTCGCAAGCCATAACCTCCGTGGTTTTTCTGACAAAAGCTTACTTTCTCACATTTCATGAAGTCTAATGATGGGTATACTGTAAAATCCAAGTTTAACGGAACCCGGCAGATTGAACATCCATAGACCCAGCAGGAGAAGACCATTTTCACTTTATCACGACATTAACACGTTTCAGCTTCTTTTTCGTAAATGTTTGCCCACAGAATGCCAACCAAATGGCAGCCGGGTCGGCAAAATCCCCGTATGTATTGACGTCCATGTGGGAACTGTGCGTGCGCGTGTGCGTGCGGTGTGTGTGTGTCTAGCAATGTATCAATCATCATACCATTCAACTAAAACAAACGGTTTTAAAACAATTATCATCTAAACACTGCAAAGAAGATGAATACATATTAAAAGTTGTATTCAATTGCGAACGTTTAAAGACTAATGTCAGTGACGCCCCTGCAGGTGATAGTCAGATCCCGTAAGACCTCTGAAGTAATAGCAGTACAGGGCCTGATTAATACTGTGAACGGGAGACCTTGAATCAAAACAAATACAAAGTAGTGATAGATGAATGTTTTCCCCGCTTCTTTGTCCTGCACCTGTTATTTTTATCTGAAGAAATGACCACATGCTTTTCACACAACTTGTGTCAAGTAGTTCTGTAATCAAATAGTAATTCGAGGCTTGTGGTCACTTTTACTTCTTGAGCTACAAAAGTGTAACTGTCCCCGGCGTCCGTGCTGGCTGTACTGAGGGAGTGCAGCCAGGGTGCGCTGGGGTGGCCTGAGCTTATGTCACATGTGTAAAGTTTAGCGAGAGTGAACACCTGGCCTACATTCTGATCCTCCACATCTGCTACTGCTTAATCCTCACTCCAGAGCAGCACTGGACACAGCTCTGTCCAGCAGTGGTCAACTCATAGGTTACATATCTATGGTTCACCCTCTGGGATGAAACCATGTGTCCAACAAAGAGGATATTTGGGTGACATAATGAAAATGACTTTAAACGTTGAACAAAATAAGACTGTTTTTTCATTGCTGGTAATGTTTAAACCTTATTTTTTTTTTTTATTGGTTTAATCAAATCATTGTACAATATGTCAAAAAATACAAAAAGCAAGTTAATAAGTAGCTTTTCTTCATGGTGTAACCTAAAATCTTTCCCATTAGACAAGTATAAATCTCTTGTTAATAAACCACAATCACAATAATGACAAATATATTTATAATTTGTGCCTTGAAATTATTGGTGGACCATGATACTAATGTCAATCTCTCAGTACTCCTTTTGTCCCGTATAGTCATTTGTTTGATCCGTGTGTCACCGCTGCAGCAGGAAAAAGCTTGATTCAGAATCTGTGAATGAACTCCAACGCGTCTATCCATACAGTGTGCGTCTCTGTAGCTGTGCGCCAGGTCTGGCGGCGTTCATCAATGTAGAGGCCCCTTATGCAAATCTCACAACTTATAAAATTAACCAGTAATATAAGGGTCTACAAAGTTGTTAGATCAAGTTAAGTCAACTCAAAAAACCATTTTTTTCCCTTTTTTTTTGGCTGCTCTGTTGTGCTGTCCTGTTCTACAGTATGTACATATGGTCTATTTATATTTGTCTTTCTACGACATTTCTTACAATATTATTATTATTATTACAATCTATTATTTTTTATACATTTAGTCCTTCTCGTCCGTGTCGAGCTCCCATACCAAACCCTAGGTTGTTCAGTCAATCATATATACCACCTATTGCAATAATTAATCCCTAAAAACATTGAATATTTAATGAGTGTTTACAATGACATTTTTTACAAGGTAGTGCTTATCAAACAGTTTAGATTCAAACCAAATACATGTATAATAACATCTACAATGGTAATATCTAATCGACCCCAGGCAACGTTGGACCCATAACAATTGGGCATTCGGGGCCAAAAAGGTTGAGAATCTCTGCACACGTGTATACATTATTTTGAACTTGATTAATGAATAAATACACTAAAAAGTGGGGTGAGAAAAAATACCTACTTTCAAATCACTTCAGAAGTTACCTGATTTCAGTATTATACAGGTTGACCTAATGACGTAAACAAAATTGGCCAACACAAATAAACAGAATCAAAACAGGTGAGAACACAGTTAAAGAAAACACATACAGCCCTGGTCCATAAGGGTCAGAAGACCAATGTCCATAAATGTTGATAGAGACCCAATGAACTGTGCTTATCACTGAACAGTATTGGCAATTACACACATCTTTTTCTCCTCCTTTTATGGTACACTTTCAGTTCTATGGATACCTTCCGTCTTGTCAACCTTCCATGACATAAGCTGTGCATTCTTGATAGAGCTGCTTCTTTGCTTTTTTTGGTGGAAATCTGCTTTACATCCATCCTCCCATGTTTGTAGATAGTGCAGGTTCCACTGACTCTTCTCGATCCTACGCCTTCATCCTCCCCGCTCTGGGACACTAGACCTGGCCATGTTCTCTTGCGTTCTCTTTTGTTAGATACTTTTTATATTCCGTGAACACTGTGAGCAGAAGGGTTTTATGGTCCGTGATCAAATTGAACTTTTCCCTTCCTCCTTTTCAATCTGGGAGTCATTATCTCTTTGCCAGTGAGATGCCGAACGTTTAGAGTTCAATTCCATTTATTTTGGTGTATATCCCTGAATCGACAACAGTAGTTTATCTCGGAGGACTTTACAAAACTGTTGAATTTGCCATGACAGGAATCAGAGAATCAAACAGTTCAAAACACAACAAATGCAATGATAAAAAACACACATGGAGCCCTTAGTCTGTAAGTCCTAGATCAACACTGGGCGGACCTATTGATGCTCTTGCTGTCAATCATAGTGTGCTGAATAATAGCTCAAATCCAAATGTGGGAGAAAGTGGCAGCTTGGATCTAAAGAAGTACAATTGTATCCACTGTACATTTATTTGCACTTTCAAAACCACCCACTTTACTCCACCTCCAATCAGTTTAGGTCCTTCAGCCAATCTGTGTACTCTTGCTGCTGAGAATAATTACCGACATTTTTTACCTTATCCAATAAAGCCTCTGAGCTCTTTTTCGTTTGTGGCGTCTTCCAGAAGGGTAAACTCAATTTTTGTGTCCAGCATGAACCTTGTATAATCTGTGAATATATTGGTGGTAATGTTGTATAAGGCTGTAAAACCCTCACATTCATGTTGTACACTTTTCTAACCAGTCTGAACTCACAAAGGCTAAGTGAGAAAGAGAGCAGGAGGTATCAAATCTGTTTGTTTGAAGGTCTGAGCAACTGCTGCAGGCTGTCAAAAGCCGTGCATACACTGTAAAAAGAGCTTTAGAGACACTGAGGGGCAGAGCAGATGGCACATGCATGACCCAGAGAGAAAAGAAGTAGAGACCAGATGAGAGACCAGAGAGAAAGACTGAGAGATATAATAGATGAGAGACCAGATAGAGGCAGTGGTAGTTGGCAGGGCACACCAAGACACAAAACGTGTCTCTATATCAAAAATGCTAACTGTCATATCTGGCGGTTATAGGATGTTATTGAAGTGTACTTGTGTAAATAGAGTACTAAGCCCTAACCCATGCACAGTACTAATCAGGCCCTAGCCCTGCTTAGCATCAATGATGTTGTGTTGGGAACGTGCTTTCCACATGCAGGTGCGCCATCCTGCCACACTTACATTGTTAATAAAGTGTTTTATTTTTTGTTTTCAGTTTCATTTGTCCAACACTAGTTCTACACGCACACACTAACACACTCACACAAATACACATACATAAAGGCACGCACACACATTACATACACACTCACACCAGCACACCACTCACTACAGGAAACACTTTTACATTGTTCTGTGATCATTATGCCAGTGTTATTGTTTTTTTTAAATCTTTATACTGTTTTGGAGTTGAGCCTTGCGTATGAAACTGTGCCAAACAAAAAATTTACGTTGCCTGCCTTAACACTCACGGACTGCACCACAGTCCAGGACCGGGGCAGAGAGGGCTGGTTCCAACAGCCGAGGAAGGGTCGTTCTCGTCTGCGGTCTGTCCGGGCGGAAGAAGGGGAAAAATCCAGCCCACCTTTTCTCATTGTTTGCACACCGCGGTGGAATGCTCGCTGGTTTGGTGCATGTTGAAAAGATCAGGGCTTTTCTGGATCACCGCTCTAACGCTCATCTGGATTCGGGACACTATTCACAAAAGCTGACCCATGTGAGAAGCAGAAGAAGAAGAAGAAGAAATAAAAAAAAGAAAAAGTAGGTGGGATATTTTTTTTTTTTTTGTAAACACCCCCCATCAAGAGTCTGCGCACGTCCGCTGGAATCCTGGACTGTCTGTGAAGCGTCGAGAAGGGTAAAAACATGTTTTTTTTTCCCCTTTCTTCTTCGCATGTATTTTTTTTTGTTTTTTTTTTTTTTTTTTTACAGCGGATGTGGCAAAGCAAAGGGAAACCAAGGGAAAGAAACCAGACAGAGACAGCAGGAAGACCTAGATTACGAAGCGTAGGATAGACGTGGATAAACATGGCAATCCGTTGTTGGCGGGTCCAAAACTCCCCACTTATCTGCCCAGACTTATATATGTATAACATGTTTAGTTGTGTGTGTGTGCGTGCCTACGTTTACACACACATATATATTTTTTACATATTCATCTGCGGTCAATCCTATAACTTTTGACCTCTCGCAGACAGTCTAATGTATTACACACGTATCGCGTATCTCCTCGCGTTATTATCATATTTTTTTCTTTTTTTCTTTTTTTTTTTTTTTTACCAAGCTAGTGTCCCACCTCCTAAAAAGGTAAAAGGCAGCCCAACGTCAAGCACTCCGTTCCTCCTGCTTCCCACACTTCCTCCCAGAACATCGGTGCGGATGTACAGGGCGAGATTGTGGTGCCCAACTGTCCCGGATGGTTGTCTAATAATCCCTGGGGTGCGTTTGTTTTGTGTTTTGAGATTTGAGGATTGTTTTGTAGAGTTGTGGGTGAAATTGTGTTGTGTACATGTTGTATGGCACTAGCGGTCATGTTTGTAATGGGTGCCAAAAAAATGATTCTCTAAACGAGGCAGGCATGTCATGTTCAGGCCCGCGGGTCAAAAGCGTCCGTTGGTGATGTTGCGTGGCCGCCTCTGCTTGATGTAAGGATTTGAGATCATATATACACAGTACTTCAATTCAATTCAAGTGTGTTTTTGTGTACCCTTAAATCACTAGCAGCGGCTCATCGCGGAGGAGTTTTGCAGAGTGTGGGGAAACGCATAGAATATGACAAAGTGGCTTTTTGGCAGTGGGCCGATTAAGTAGATCTTTTATTTGTCCCCGCAGTGGGGGAGGTTTCAGTGTGGGCTTCATTTGTTACAGAACATAGAATGAGAAGAGACCTTTGCATAATAAAGGAAGGGGGGGGGGGGGGGGGGGGGGGGGGGGGGGGGGGGGGGGCAATAACTTTTATAATAAAATAGAATAAAATCGTCCAATTTTTGCTTCCAGTAAAAGTTGTCTACGTCCTGTATCGTCTGACATAGTAAAAAAGTGAAAATCTTCTTGAGTGTGAGCGATGGCGACAGTGAACTTGTTAACAGAGCGTGCACGAGGAGAACTGGCTTGTGGCACTCCGCTCTGTTTTACAGTCACTGTCGCCATCGCTCACACCAGAAGATTTTACTTTTTTTACTATGTCAGACATACAGACTAAGAACAATTTTACTGGAAGCGAATAAAGTTGGAATTTTATTCTATTTTATTATAAAGTTATGTTACCCTTTATCTTAGCAATGTCCTCATCCTCATTTCTACGTTCTGTAACAAATGAAGCCACACTGAAACCTCCCCACTGCGGACAAATAAAAGATCTCTTAATCTGCCCACGCCAGAACACTTTTCATAATCTATGCGTTTCCACACACTTTGCAAAACTCCGTCCGCTATGACCGCTGTAGTGATTTAAGGGCTACACAAAAACACATTGAATTGAATTGAAGTTTGTCCATATATGATGCTCAAATCCTACATCAACAGCAGAGGCCACGCAACATCCACAACGGACCGCATTTGACCCGCGGGCCTGGAACATGGACATGCCTGCACGTTTAGAGAATCATTTTTTTTGGCACATTACAAACAATGAACCGCTAGTGCCATACAACAAGTACTGCAACACAATTCACCCACAAACTCTACAAACAAATCGTCAAATCTCAAAAACACAAACTAACGCACCCCAGTGATTATTATACAACCATCCGGACAAGTGGCACCCAATCTCGCCCTGTTACATCCGCACCGAGTCTGGAGGAATGTGGGAAGAGGAGGAACGAGTGCTCTGACTTTGGCAGCCTATTTCCCTTTTAGGAGGTGGGACACTATTTGGTAAAAAAAAAAAAAAAAAAAGAAAAAAAAAGATAAAATATGATAATAACGCGAGGAGATAACGCGATACGTGTGTAGATACATTAGACTGTATGAGAGGTCAAAAGTAATCAGGAAATGACCGCAGACTGAATATGTAAAAATATAATATGTGTGTGTAAACGTAGGCACGCCACACACACAATAACATGTATACATATATATGTCTGTCCAGAAACGTGGGTAGTTTTGACGCAACAACGGTTGCCAAGTTATCACGTCTCCCTTCGCTGTAATCTATCTCTGCTGCCTCTGACTGGTCTTTCCCTTGTTTTCCCTTTGCTTGGCCACATCCGCTGTAAAAAAAAAAAAAAAAAAACATAAAAAAATACAACTGCGATAGAAGAAGGTGAAAAAAACATGTTGTTTAGCCTCTCGCCGCTTCACCGCAGTCCAGATTCCAGCGAGAGTGCGCAGACTCTGAAGGGGGGATTACCCAAAAAACAAATAAATATCCACAACTTTTTCTTTTTTTATTTCTTCTTCTTCTTCTTCTCTTCTCCACATGGGTCGCTTTGTCGCATAGTGGTCCCCTAATCCAGATGAGGTTAGAGCGAGATCCAGAACAGCCCTTGTATTTTCAAACATGCACCAAACCAGCGCATTCTCACCTGCGTGTGCAACAATGAGAAAAGTGGGCTTGGATTTTCCCCTTCTCCGCCCGGACAGACCGCAGAGAGAACGCCCTTACCTCGGCTGTAGGACCCTCCTCTCGTCCCGGTCCCATGGACTGAGTGCAGTGTGAGTGTTAGGCAGGCAAGGTAAGTTTTTTTGTATGTCACAGTTCATACGCAAGGCTCAAACAAACAAGTATAAATGGGTTTAAAAAAACAATCACTCCAGGCATAATGATCACAGAAAATGAAAAAAGTGTTTCTGTGTGAGTGTGTGTGTGTGTGGGTGAGTATGTATGTGTGTGCGTGCATATATGTAGTGCTGTTTTTGTGTGTGTGTGTATGTGTGTGCGTGTAGAACTAGTGTTGGACAAACGAAACAGAAACAAAAAATAAAACACTTTTATTAATAAAAAACAATGTAAGTTATGCAGATGGCGCCACTGCATGTTGAAAGCCAGATCCCAACGACACATCTGATGCTAAGCAGGGGCAGGGGCCTGTTAGTAACTGAGAATGGGTAGGGTTCGTCCTCTCAATTACACAAGTACACTCCAATAACATCATATAACCGCGCAGTATGACGTTAGCCCTTTATGTATAGAAGACAAGTTTTGTGTCATGTGTGCAGCTGGCCAAAACTAACCAACTGCCTCTCTCTGGTCTCTCTCCTTGTCCGTCTCAGTCTTTCTCTCTGGTCTCTCTCTGGTCTCTCCTTCTTTCTCTCTGGTCTTGATGTGCCATCCCGCTCCTGCCCTCCTCAGTGTCCTCTAAAGCTCGTCTTTTTTTACAGTGTATGCACGGCTTTTGACCAGCTGCAGCAGTGCTCAGACCTTCCAACAACAGATATGATACACTCTGCTCTCTTTCTCACTTCAGCTTTTGTGAGTTCAGGCTGGTTAGAAAAGTGTACAACGTGTAAGTTAGGGTTTTACAGCCTTAAAACATACCACCAATATTTCACAGATTATACCAAAGTTCCATGCTGACAGAAATAGAGTTTACCCCCTTCCTGAAGACCCCACAAACAGAAAGAGCTCAGAGCTTTCTGAAAAGGTGAAAATTTACTGTAATAGTCTCTCGCAGCAAGTACTACAGATTGCTGAAGGACAAAACCTGAATGGAGGTGGAGTAAAGTGGGTGGTTTTGAAGAAGTGCAAATAAAGATACAGTGATACATTTACTTCTTTTATGATCAAGCCTGCCACTTTTTCGCCACAATGTGATTTGAGCTATTATTCAGCACACAAGATAAGACAACAGAGCATCAATAGTCCCATGATGATCTAGGACTTATAGACTAAGGGCCTCCATTTGTGTTTTTTTTATCATTTGCATTTTGTTGTGTATGAACTGTGTTGATGTCTCTGATCTGTCTTGGCAAATTCAACAGTTTTTGTAAAGTCCTCCGAGATAACTACTGGGGTGGTATTTTTTTTTTGTGATTCAGGGATATACACAAAATTAAATGGAATTGAACTTCTAAACGTTCGCTCTCACTGGCAAAGAGATAATTACTCCCAGATTGAAAAGGAGAAGGGCAAAAGTTCATTTGATCACGGACCATAACCCTCTTCTCACAGTGTTCAGGGAAATAATAAAAAGTATCTTAACAAAAGAGACGGCAGAACATGGCCGTCCTTGTGTCCCTGCTGCTGGAGGGCTGAAGACGAAGGATCGAGAGACAGAGACAGTGGAACCTGCACTAATCTACAAAGACCATCTGGGAGGATGGGATGTAACAGCAGATTTCCACCAAAACCAGCAAGAAGCAGCTCTATCAAGAATGCACAGATATGTCATGGAAGGGTGACCCAAGAGAAGTCTCCAAAGAACTGAAAGGTGTACCATAAAAGAGAGAAAAAGAGTTGTAATTGCCAAATACTGTTTCAATGATAAGCAAAGTTTCATTGGTCTCTATCAACATTTATGACATGTCTCTGCCCCTTATGGACCCAGGTCTGTATTGTATTTACTATAACTGTGATTCAATCTGTTTGATTCTGTTAATTGTGTTGGCATTTTTGTTTTCCGTCATTAGGTCAACCTGTAATAATACTGAAATCAGGGTAACTTCTGAAGTGGATTATAATAAGTAGGTATTTTTTCTCACGGCCCACTTTTTTAGTTATTTATTCATTAATCAATTTCAAAATCAGGTATACAGTGTGCAGAGATTCTCAACCTATTTGGCCCCGATGCCAATTGTTATTGTCCAACGTTGCCTGGGTCGATTAGATAGTACCATGTAATAAGTTTATATACATGTCTTGGTTGAATCTAACTGTTTGATAAGCACAACCTTGTAAAGAGAAATGTCCTTGAAACACTCATTAAAATTAAAGTATTAGGATAATTATTGCAATGGTGGTATATATGATTGACTGAAAACCTAGGTTTTGGTATGGGAGCACGACACGGAGAGAAGGAATAACTTATAAAAAATACTAGATTGTAATAATAATACTAATATTGTAAGAAATGTCGAAGAAAGAAAATATAAATAGACCTTTTGTACCACTGTAGAGAACAGGACGCCAACAGAGCAGCCAAAAAAACGGAAAAAAATGGTTTGGTTTACTTAACTTGAAACTAAATCACTTTGTATACCTATATAACTAAGTATTTATAAGTGTGAGAATTGCAAAAGGGACTCTCCATTGATGAACGGCCGCAGACCTGGCGTCACAGCTACAGAGACGCTCACTTGTGGAAGAGCTAGTTCCTTCACAGATTCTGAATCCCAAAGCTTTTTCCTGCTGCAGCGGTGACACACGGAGCAACAAAATGACTAACGACAAAAAGGAGCACTGTAGAGATCTGAACATTATAATCATTCCACAATTATTTCAAGCACAATTATAAATATATTTGGTCATGACTTGGTGAATTGTGTTTATTTAACAAGAGATTTTATACTTTGTCTCATGGGCAAATTTTAGTTAACACCAGGAATAAAGCTACTTTCTTAAACTTTCTTTTTTGCTAGTTGTACAATGATTTGATGAAAACAAGATTAAAAAAAAAAGGTTAAACATTTCCCATCAATGAAAAACCAGTTCCCAATTTTGTTTCACGTTTAAGTCATTTTCATCTTGTCACCCCAAATAACTCTTGTTGACACATGTTTTGTCCCTCCCAGTTGAACCATAGATTGTAACTATGAGTTGACCACTGCTGTGACAGAGGCTGTGTCCCAGTGCTGCTCTGAGTGAGGATTAAGCAAGTCAATATGTAGGGATCAGAATGTATGCCAGTGTTCACTCCTGCAACACTTTACACATGTGACCTAACTCAGGCCACCACCTAAAAAAAAAAAGGCGCCCCCGTGGCTGCACTCCGTCAGTCCAGCAGCACCGGACGGCCTGGAACAGATACCCTTTGTACTCAAGAAGAAAAAGTGACCCACATGCCTCGAATATATTTGATACATAACATACTTTACAAAGTGTTGAAAGCATGTGGTCATTTCATCAGCTAAAAATAACAGTTGCAGGACAAATAAGCGGTAAACATATCAATCTATCACTATTTGATTGATTTTTATTCAAGGTTCTCCCATCACAGTATTAATCAGCCCAGTCCTGCTACCTTCAGAGGTCTGACGGGATCTGACTATCACCTTCCCACATGACGTTCACATGACATCTCACTACATACGGGGATTTGCCGACCCGGCGCAACATTTGTATTGGCATTCTGTGGGCAAAACAATAGAAAAAGAAGCTGAAACGTGTTAATGTCGTGATAAAGTTGAAAATGGTCATCTCCCTGCTGGGTCAATGGATGTTCAAATCGTGCCGGAGGTTCCGTTAAAACTTGGATTTTACAGTATACCCATCATTAGACTTCATGAATGTGAGAAGACTAAGCTTTTGTCAGAACAACCACGGAGGTTATGGCTTGCGAAGATAAACAGGCAAGAAACTCCCTCAAAACACGCAAGAATATGCTCGAGCACTTTGTGTCAGGTGCGTATCGTATCTTATAATGTGTTTGACAGACGTAATTTACTCAGTACTAACTTGTGTATGCTGATATCTGGTAACTTGAGAGTTTCATTATTTAGCGTTAGATTACTTTATTATGAGGAGGATCGGTGTCGCGTCCGAGCTCTCGAGGGCAACGTAAATGTATTAAATAGATAATAATAGTTCTATGGTGGGCTAAAACAATGTTCACAAACAGCATTGCTTCTGTAAAAAGATCTGTGTCATAAAATAAACTGCTCTTTACCCTGGAAAAATCAGTTGCCCACCATTCACCAAAACAAACGGTCAAAAACGCGGAAATAAACAATAACAGCAATCCAGAGTGTCCGTGTGGCATTAGCATTAATTAAATTAATTGTTAATATAATTAAAATAATTAAATGGAGCTCCAACTGGTATTAAATCTAAAGTTTTTGAGAAATGTTTGCATTGCTTGTTAATTTTTGCTGCATAATTTGATCAAATATGTAAAACATGTCCGTAGCACGTTAAACTGTGGTGCCATTGTATTAATATACAATTATTTGCTCAAAAGTTGCCCTTTTTTTTTTCCAATTTGCGTTTGAATATCTACATTTATTCTCATTCTTCTGTTTAATGGAATGCACAAACACAGCAGCGTGCCATCAAAGATGGCGTCTCCGAGGAGTCATGTGACATTCATTGGTCTGTGGAACTATGTATAAATTAACCATCCATCCATCCATTTTCTTCCCCTTAATCCATTTCTGGGTCGGTGGGGGGGATGGCAGTCAGGGATGCCACCCAGTACACAGAGCACCAGCCCCTCACTGATCCTCCTGCAGGTGGTGAGTCAACAGGTGCTGAGATCTTTCAGCGGGGCTTCAGGCAAAGTGGGGTTAAGTGTCTTGCCCAAGGACACAACGACAGCAGACATCAGTGGGAGTCGTGAAGTAAGTCTTACGGTGGGCTCAAACCCACGACCTTCAGGCTCAAGGCCAATGCTCTACCAACCGAGCTACTGTCGCCCCCCATTAAATAACATTATAACAAATAAAGGGTTGATATCGCTTACGCTGCATGAAATGTGCAAAGTCATATTTTAGATTTTTCATTGTAAGTTTAAGTACACAAGTAAATGGATGTTTCCACAATATTCAAATGTTTTACCTGTGCATGTATGTATAATTATATGGCAATTTCTTTTTTTCAGCCAATAATCAGTGCTTATTTCAACAAGCGATGTTCTAAAAGACACCACCTATTGACCCAAACTATGCAAAGAATTCCACTGAATTTTTCTATTTAGCTTTTGTCATACTCACTTATCCGCCTCTCCGTAACTGCCCATAGCTGAGGTCATAGACACCACACAGATCAAGAGCGGAGACCCTGATGGCACAAGCCGAGTCAACACACACAAGCTTAATTTAGGCAACATGTCACTGTGCACTGCTCATTTTGTTTGTCTAGAATTCATGGATGTTTACAGCATACTGATAGGAAACGGTGGAAACCAGAAGAAACATAAATAATATAATATAATGATTTATAACTCTCACGGTCTGAAGTGAAATAAGTTAATCACTCTCTTCAATGTTCACCAACGTGGATGAATATCTGCTCAATGGCACAATATTTATTGATTGACTGCGGAACCTTCCGCAGTCAACCATTGGTTTTGTATTTCTTTATTCCGTCATTTTTTTTGACACGTTTCACAGCTTTCACATTTTCAACAATTTCCACAAGTTATACATCAAAACGTTCCACATGTTTGGGAGATTATTGCTATTACTTTTGGGACTTCAGCGATTTCCGGTTTTTCCGCAATCGGACAAAAATCTGCATTGAGAATTCTGCAATGCATTTTAATAGGCCCATGCATTTTAATAGGACTTCAGCTCTTTCAGACATTTCTACAGTTTCAATGATTCAACAGTTTCAAGGATTCAACAGTTTCAAGGATTTCAGCAGTTTCAAGATTTCAAGAGTTTCAAGGACTTCAACAGTTTCAAGGACTTCAGCAGTTTCAAGGACTTCAGCAGTTTCAAGGACTTCAGCAGTTTCAAGGACTTCAGTGTAATCATGCAACCTAATAGGGATTTTTCCATGTAAACCAGTATAATGCAACTTAATAGGGTTTTTTCATGTAAACCAGTATAATGCAACTTAATAGGGTTTTTTCATGTAAACCAGTATAATGCAACTTAATAGGGTTTTTTTTCATGTAAACCAGTATAATGCAACTTAATGGGGATTTTTCCATGTAAACCAGTATAATGCAACTTAATAGGGGTTTTTACATGTAAACCAGTATAATGCAACTTAATAGGGTTTTTTCCATGTAAACCAGTATAATGCAACTTAATAGGGTTTTTTCCATGTAAACCAGTACAATGCAACTTAATAGGGATTTTTCCATGTAAACCAGTATAATGCAACTTAATGGGGATTTTTCCATGTAAACCAGTATAATGCAACTTAATGGGGATTTTTCCATGTAAACCAGTATTATGCAACTTAATAGGGATTTTTCCATGTAAACCAGTATAATGCAACTTAATAGGGATTTTTCCATGTAAACCAGTATAATGCAACTTAATGGGGATTTTTCCATGTAAACCAGTATTATGCAACTTAATAGGGATTTTTCCATGTAAACCAGTATAATGCAACTTAATAGGGTTTTTTTTCATGTAAACCAGTATAATGCAACTTAATAGGGTTTTTACATGTAAACCAGTATAATGGAACTTAATAGGGGTTTTTACATGTAAACCAGTATAATGGAACTTAATAGGGGTTTTTACATGTAAACCAGTATAATGCAACTTAATAAGGATTTTTACATGTAAACCACTATAATGTAACCTAATAGGGGTTTTTACATGTAAACCAGTATAAAGCAACTTAATAGGGATTTGTACATGTAAACCAGTATAATGCAACCTAATAGGGATTTTTCCATGTAAACCAGTATAATGCAACTTAATAGGGATTTTTCCATGTAAACCAGTATAATGCAACTTAATAGGGATTTTTCCATGTAAACCAGTATAATGCAACTTAATAGGGATTTTTCCATGTAAACCAGTATAATGCAACTTAATAGGGATTTTTCCATGTAAACCAGTATAATGCAACTTAATAGGGGTTTTTACATGTAAACCAGTATAATGCAACTTAATAGGGTTTTTTTCATGTAAACCAGTATAATGCAACTTAATAGGGATTTTTCCATGTAAACCAGTACAATGCAACTTAATAGGGATTTTTCCATGTAAACCAGTATAATGCAACTTAATAGGGTTTTTTTCATGTAAACCAGTATAATGCAACTTAATGGAGATTTTTACATGTAAACCAGTATAAAGCAACTTAATAGGGATTTGTACATGTAAACCAGTATAATGCAACCTAATAGGGATTTTTCCATGTAAACCAGTATAATGCAACTTAATAGGGATTTTTCCATGTAAACCAGTATAATGCAACTTAATAGGGATTTTTCCATGTAAACCAGTATAATGCAACTTAATAGGGATTTTTCCATGTAAACCAGTATAATGCAACTTAATAGGGATTTTTCCATGTAAACCAGTATAATGCAACTTAATAGGGGTTTTTACATGTAAACCAGTATAATGCAACTTAATAGGGTTTTTTTTCATGTAAACCAGTATAATGCAACTTAATAGGGATTTTTCCATGTAAACCAGTACAATGCAACTTAATAGGGATTTTTCCATGTAAACCAGTATAATGCAACTTAATAGGGTTTTTTTCATGTAAACCAGTATAATGCAACTTAATGGAGATTTTTCCATGTAAACCAGTATTATGCAACTTAATAGGGATTTTTCCATGTAAACCAGTATAATGCAACTTAATAGGGTTTTTTTCATGTAAACCAGTATAATGCAACTTAATAGGGTTTTTTCATGTATAATGCAACCTAATAGGTTGCATTATACCACCAGACCAAGACCCAAACGAAGACTCAGACCACCACCAGATAATGACCACAGACCAGGTTTCCTTAGTTACAGGAACCAAATTGTTTCAGCGGTGAGGGGATTTTTCAGTTTCAAGGACACTTTCAATACATTCAGTAGTTTCAAGGATTTCAGCTGTTTAAGAATTTAACCAGTTTCAAGGATATCAGGAGGTTCAAGGATTTCAGGAGTTTCCACACTTTCAACAGTTTCCAGGTTTAAAAAAGTTTCAAGGATTTCAGGAGTTTCAATGTTTCAACAGTTTCAAGGATTTCAGGAGTTTAAAGGTTTCAACAATTTCAAGGACTTCAGGAGTTTCAAATATCTATCAAGTATTTTAACAGTTTCAAGGCTTTTTAAAGGATTTCAAGGATTTTTTTTAGCAGATTTCCACATTAGATCTGTTCCGCAGTCAATCGCAATGGCTTCAGCCATTGCAAGTTTCTAGTTTTATTTACCATTTATTTATTTAATCTTTAATTCAGACACACAAAGGGTCCATATAAAACAAAAGAGACAAAAAAACACACAAACATTCAATATTTACAAAATTCTATAAAGACAGCTTCTCCAATGCCTCCAGAGATCAGAGGTGTGCCTAACACTGCTCTGTACAGTAAAAACATTTATTATTACATTTAAAGAGTGCTCAGAGCGTTTCATGAACTTATAAATACAGTTTCTGATCACAGCAGTCAGAGTGGGGACATTATTAAAAACAAACAGTGAGCTGGCACTAGTCCAACGAGGGACTCTCAGTAAAATTCTAAGTGCATCATTATATGCAACCTGCAGCTTCTTAAACTTACTCTTACTGTATCTGCACCACAAGTGGGCAGTATAGAGCGGTGTGCAGTAGGCTTTAAACAAATTTATTTTCACTTTATCTGTACACATGTGAAATCTCCGAGCCAAAGTGTTAGCCTGTCCATACAGCTTACAGTACTGCCTCTGAATGTCATCGTCATCACTGAGGTCACTCCTGATGACGTGCCCCAGGTATTTGGCCTTCTCTACATTCTGAAGCACCCCACCAGACAAATAAAAGGCAGGAAAAGAGGTCTTCAGGTGTTCTTTGGTCCTCACCACCATAACTATTGACTTCTTAGAGTTAAACTTAATGTCATACTGTTCCCCATATTCTGTGCAGACTCTCAGCAGCTGCTGCAGACCTGCAGAGTAGGGGGACATGATGACCAGATCATCTGCATAAAGAAGGTGGTTCAAGAGTCTGTCTCCAATAGAGCAGCCGGTCTTACACTGCCTTAACTTTACAGATAACTCATCCATATAAACATTAAAAAGCATAGGTGACAGGATTCCACCCTGTCTCACTCCGTTTGACACATGAAACGGTTCTGACACTACCGTACTCCATTTAACCTGCATGGTTTGGTGCGAGTACCAGAAATGGAGGAGACGAACTAAATATGCAGGGACCCCTCTTTGCATCAATTTATAAAATTATTTAGAATGGTTAATACGATCAAATGCTTTAGAAGCATCCAGGAAACACACAAACATAGTAGAACTCTGCCTTTGATATTTACTTAGAGCCTCTTTTAGAGAGTATATGCACATGTCAGTGCCATGTTTGCTTTTAAAACCAAACTGCTCGTCATTTGAGGTAAAATACTGCAGGAACCGCTCTGATACAATTATTTCTATTACCTTAGAAAGCACACTGGCGAGTGCAATTGGCCTGTAGTTTTCTAAACTAGACAATTTTACTGTTTTATCCTTGATTACAGGTGTAAGGAGGACAGACATCAGTGAGCTAGGCAGTGTACCATGCATTAACATGCCAGTAAAGCAAAGTGAAAGCAGGACACACAGTCTAGGGCTGGCATACTTCAGATGCTCTGCAGTTAGCTTGTCCAGGCAACAGGATTTACCCAGAGACAGTTTCTTAATAGCTGCAGCTATTTGCACAACTGTGATATTCACGTTTTTATCCGTTGATTTGTCAATAATAAAATGCTTGCTTTTCACACAATTAAAAAGTTTACTATAATGTTTTCTCCAAAGCTCTGCAATATTGTCAGGCCCAGTTATCCCATCAATGGTGGAGGGCAGAAGGATTTTTGTTACACTCATATGTTGAGCATCATATTTTAATAACTTTTCAGCGAAAGAGTCAGCTCTAAGAGTTTCTTCGTTCCTCTTTATAAATCTAACAGCATCTTTGAACTGCTTACCAGCTTGTTTTTTGAGATCACACAAGCGGCCATTTTGTGGCTTACCAGCAGTAACCCAGTTGATGTAGGCTGATCGAGCTTGCTTATGGAGCTCATTCACATGCTCGTTCCATCCTGGTCTGCTATTTTGATGTGATGACCCTTTTCTAAACAATATTTAGAGGTATTTTTGATAGTATTCTTTTTGATAGTAGTCTTTTTTAATTTAGTACCTACTAAGTCAGAAGTTTACATACACAATTGACATGTTAGTGACATATGAAACAACTCAGGCTCTGAGGAGCACAGGGACTGGCCTCCTGCTGTTGCCCAAAGTCAGGACAAAACATAGGGAGGCTGCATTTCAGATTCATGCCGCTGAAATCTGGAACAGTCTTTCTAAAAATGTGAGACATGCTTCTTCTCTGACAATGTTCAAATCCAGGTTACAACGGTTCTGTTTAGCTGTTTCTAAATCTTCAAAGGTGCCAGATTCAGTTGATTTGAACATGTTTTACTCAAATATAAACTCCATCGGGATGTCCAGCCATCATTCCGCTCAGGAGGGAGACAGGTGCTGTGTTCAGAGATGAGAATGTTTTGGTTTGGTACGAAATTTACGGATCAACCCCAGAACAAAAGCTAAAGAATGTGTGAAGATGTTGGCTGAAGCTGGTAAGAATGTTATTATCCAAAGTAAAACAAGTCTTGTACAAACATGGGTTGAATGATCACTCTGCAAGGAAGAGGTTGTAACTCCAAATTAAACATACAAAGTAATATTCTAAATGTTATCTTAATTTTTGGAGTGGAATGGTTTGGCCATGAATACTAGGTAATAGGAAAAGGGAAGGCTTGTCTTAGAACTCCTTTTCAATTCTAAAGAATGGTGGGGACATGTGGCTGTTATTTTGCAGGAGAAACTGGGGCACTTGATGGCATCATATGAAGATAAAATATGTGAAAATATTGAAACAACATCTCAAAAAATTAGCAAAGAACCACTATAATAATCCAAAATACAATAATAATACTTTTTTTTAATAGCCTTTTTTAGCGCTCAACACTTTTTAAAGAATTGTTTATTCACTCCATTTAAAGTGGTGATTAACTGCTACTGTAGCCACAGCTGCCCTGGGACAGACTGACAGAAGAACGTATAGCTTGAATGGAATTGTCTCCCAACTTTTAAGCATGTAATAATAATAATAATAATAATACATCAAACCTGTATAGCGCTTTTTTTGGACACTCAAAGACGCTTCATATGGCCAAAGTTGTTACAAAGTGGCTTAATATACAGTAAGTCCCATGGATACAAAATGTGTAAGGAATAACAGGCCAGAACTCCAACCATTTATTTAAGCATGTTTTTGCTAAGCACTTTTGTTTGTCCTTGTGTAGGAATTGTGCTATTCAAATACAACGGCCTTGTCTTATCCAAGTCTAACCTTTAATCTTCTAACTTTGGAAAAAGTAAAACAACAACTTTGGGACATTGTGCCATTGAGCAAAGACAATCAAATAATGCCTAATTAATGTTGGTTAAAAAAAACAAGCAAAAAACAGATCAGGAATATCTTGAACTTCCTCTTTTTTTCTCTTTTATACGCGTATACATCAGCCAAGTATACATACATTATTAGAGCCAATAAACACTTAATTATTGCGTAGCCCACTTTTTTTGGACTTTCACATTTTTTATTGGCCACATCAAACAGAGCAGAGGAACAGGACGTACTAATGGGTTTGACTTAATGACAGAGTGGAAAAGTCAAGAAAGCACAAATGTGATCTGTGTTTCTTAAGCTGTCAATCAGCCACGGTCCAAAACACAAACACAAAGATAGAGTTTTGTTATAAATAACTTGACTCAAAGCAGATTAAACCGGGTCAGCGACTTTTGTTTTAGGAGCATATTTAAATAAGTCATAATAAAAAGTGGTCATACAGTCATTGTAAGGTCAGGTAATGAAGTGAAAGCAGAGGTTGGACTCCCCGTGCACTGAGCTAACCTCCTCTTATAAACATGGAGAATTTCTTTCAATAACAAGTGCTTTATAACTTTCTTGTCTTTTGAGAAGAATATTGAAAGATTTGCATTTAATTCCCTTAAAGACTTACCCCAGCCAATGCCGTAGTAGTAGAAGTGTTTGCTGCCCTCAGAACCAAAGACTTTGACGACCATACTGTAAAGATGAAGGCCTTCCACCAACATCCAGGCAAACGCACTCAGGAAGAAGAAGTGAAGCAGCACGGCCATGACTTTACAAGGCAGCTATAGAACAGAGGAAAAGACATTTATCTGCTCTCCAAAGCAGGGAGGAACTTTATTCTGTATTCATATAATTAGGCTTACTGTGCCTGGATCAAAGCGTGCACTGATGAGCAGAAGGATCTCAGCCACCAAAATTGCAAAGGATAAATTTGCATGGATGTGGTATCGCTGATTGCGTATGGTACTTACTGAACTAAAAAACAGAAACAATTAAATCATTATTTATTTTCATGAAATGTATTCAATCATGTGTCTAGTGTACTTACGAAAGGACTGCAAAAGTGACCAGAGTGATGGCCAGGCAAAAGATGGAAATGGAGCAGCCAACATAGCCGATGGTAGACAGTGCCACCCGGTGGCCAGAGGTGAGCTTTGAATCAGACAATTACAAAAACATATATTACTACTGCTATTACTTTTTTGTACTGCAAAGTTGGTACACATTGAATAATATAATATATACAAAAGTACAAATGTAGAATCCCCTTGTGTTTCATGGACCTTTTGGAAGTATATTGTATGATTATTCATAACCTGCTTTTGAAGAACTTTTGAGTTGCCTTGTGTATGAAATGTGCTATACAAATAAACTTGCATTGCCACGAATTGATCTAAATGATTTATATTTCATTTCTTTTTTCTTTATTTTTGGTTCCAATCTTAATTTCATGGCCTACCAATACAAACGTAATGCTACAAGTGAATGTTTCTCATTCTAAAGGATTATGGTCATTTTTGAATATTGGCAAACATTGTTCATACCTACAATATACCAATGGCTTTGTTATTCTTATTATTGCATTTCTTGTGCTTTAAATGTTTTTGGCAAATTGATAATTGTGTAAAGGTGATAGCTTTCGGGCTATGCAAAAATACATTGAATTGAATTGGAATTTGCAGAAGTAAATGATAAAAGAAAAGAAAAATCGGAAGTCATGGAATGGCTACTCTAAATTATGTTGTTGTATCTCGTTTTTGGGATATTTCAAGTGTTTGGCTGCTGTTCTCATCTGCCCTTACTCGTATGTGCCTTGTCATTATGAGGCCAGGAGTCTGGTCCAGAATAGTGCACGTTGGGATGCTGCAGCTGTGGTTTAAGGCAGCCCACTAATTAGAGAGTGGCAGAGGGAAAGTATCAAATAAACTGCAGTTCCTAAAATACTCATGTGGCCCACTTCACTGTAGTCAAAAGTTGTCTTATCTATTTAAAGACAGCATCGGATGTATAAGATTCCAGCTCTCGAACAGTCGCTATCTATGACACTAGCACAGATGTTTTAAAGAACTTTTCCAGTGGTTTGGGAAAAGACCACTGACCTATACAATAACACCAAACATTTAGCCGTGGTTGTCCGCACGTCAACCTGTGAAGCCACCAGTAAAATATGCACCAAAGCTCAGTAAAAGTGTGTGAACTATATGGTTGATCAGAAACTGGGTCCTGTTTTCTATCCAATTCTGCAATCACAAATGTCCATTACTTTAACTTAGCACAAAAAGAACAGCTGTATTTAGCACCTGTTCATCAATCCAAAGCCATTTTGATGTGTTGACTGCTATAACAAAAATCTAGTTGTTGCTTCACATAATGGACAAGAACAAAAATAACACAAAATTATTGATCAACCTATGGCTTTGGAAAGTGATGAGGCTGATGTACTATCCAGTTGAAACTGGGCTGACATTTCTGGTGTCTAATGATGGAATAACTTTGATTTTAACTTTGGAAATGGCTTGGTTTTAGGAGATGTTTTATGTATAATCTATAATAATCTATATTCCGGCTGTGATTTTGTATATTTTACTGCTTACCACTCCTTTCAGACATGTAAACTTGTATATTTATATACTTACAGCATGTCTATGGCATGTACTTTATTGTCTTTGCTATAGACCCGACATATTAAACATTTGACCGTTTTGGGGTCTCGTGATATTGTCGGTTGTTGTAACATACTTGTGCTTCCAGTTGATTGTTTTAAATAAATCTAATAAAACAAATTGACAGAAAATGCATAATCTTGTGAAGCTGTCTCTTATTCTAAACCATGTGTCTCACCTCTATTGGCACAACTTGCATGAGGATGGCAAAGTTAGTGAGGTGGTTACAAAGGCACACAGAGTACGAGATGTTCCCCTCCGAACGGACACAGCCTTCGTTGGACCACACTCCTTCTTTTGAGCTAAAATAACATATCAAATGAACTGCAATGAACAATTCAATACAATGTGTCATATTTGAACAGCTTGGGTTAATGCGGGTTGAGTCTTCTGAGTCCAAGTTCCATTCGAATTATACGATTTATGGTTCTCAGTAGTGTTTGGCAAATGTCACTGTTTTAAAAGGGTTTTGGAAAAGCAAATTGTACATTGGCCCAAAATGTTTCTTATTTAAAAGGAAATACACCTATCCAACTTGTAATGTTATTGCTCCCATGTCGAACAATCCATTCTGCAGATGCATGATAATTTACCTTAAAAACTGCTTTGTGTAAATGATTACCCACCTATAGTCCAGGAAGGCACAGTAGAGGAAGATTTTATTGCTCTGGTTTAAGACTTGATCCTGTTGCTCCTTTGTCTGAAAGTGAAAATAAAATTGATGTAATCCAATCTGTGAAATGATGTGATGTAGTAAAACATTTGCTTGGCTGGTCCCGGCTAAAAGAAGCAAATTAAAACTCTCGTACTGTTGTAAAACTAGCAGAGAGAGATGAATGCCAAAAAAAAAGAAATAAAAGAAAACATTCACTGTATTAGAGACATCCGATTGCATGATTTGGTTATAAATCAATCCTAAAGAGACATACATCGTTTGTTATTAGTGAAGCAAACATTTTATAGCATTAATTCAATATGTGCTTTAAATAAGCTCTATCAATCTTCATTTGTTTCATAGTTTTCCTCCAAGGACAGGATGATCCATCCATGGTCAAGTGTTTGATTTTCTAATCAGCTGTTGTTAAGGTCTCAAGTTTATGACTGCAGTAGTGATTTTGGGCTATACTAAACACATTGAATCTAAATTGAATTTAAGTTTAAGGTACACTTTATTGATCCATGTAGTGTAATTTGTCCTATGCATCCGACCCATCTTCCATACCACAAGTCATCCAGTCAGGATCAGTGAATTTAATAATGTAATTTTCCAGTGTAACCGATGAGGTTGTTTTCCATTGTGGCAAATAGAAAATACAATAAATCTGCATCTATTTTTTATTGTAAATGTAGCATTTTTTAATAGATACTGTATATGATGTGTTATAGATATTTTAGAAAATACTATACTTATTAATTAAAATTAGGATATTTCTCATACTATACACTCAAAACAATACTTCATTCAAAAGGCCCAGTTGAAGAAACCACCAGTTTTTTGCAGTGTATGCTAGAGTGATGAAAGGAAGATGCACATTTTGATCTCTTGAGAAAGACATTACATTTTGATCATAATAATTACAAAGCAACATTGTGTGCTGTCCTCAACTATCTTTTTTGATTATATCAGTCTCTCCATGTCACTTCTGCATATGAGATTTGGACTCCCATGAGACAGTGAGCTAATGGCTGAAGTACAAGAATGCAGTAATTAGGGTTTGGCTTTGGCTTTAGTTCGGACCACTACCCTCCTTTTTCTTCAATCGCTCCTCTGAAAACACTTTAATTGCCAGCCTGGGTGTGCGCAGAAAACAACACACCTTTAGACTCTTTCCTTAACAGCATGAAGTCCTCAGACCGGAGACATGAATGAATTGTCTGCACGATTTCCTCTTGGAAAAAGTGAGTGAAGCTGACAGAGGAGCTGTCCAGGCCATTGCTCCTATTACAAAGGAAACACACGCTCTTAGTCCGTCTGTTTCTCGAGCCATCTACTCCAATCACTAATCATTAATGTGATTTTACTAGTAGCCTTGGAAGTGGCACAGAGATTCATAAATCACAATGGGCTTTTTGATATTGAATTGTTATAATCCAAATAAGAGCATTGGTGCTGCCGCAGTTCTATCTGAATCATAGCTTATCATAATTTGTCTCTTAGATTCATTTTATTTATTTTATATATGACAAATAAACACTTTAAAGCTGTAGCAACACACTTTTTATCACAACCCTTTGATCAAATCTATTATAAAAAGTTTTTTGCAGAACAGTTTGGTTTTATCACTAGTTTTAACATGTTTGGCCTGTGTCACATCATCCTATCATCTTTTTCAGACAGAAAAATGGAAAAGAGAGTCCCACCCTCACTCGTGCAATCTGCTCTCTGCCCAAGGAGTCAAATACAGACTCACAGGGCTCTTTTTTACAAGTATGCAACAGATAACATGTTTTCAAATAAGATGGAAACAGCATGTTATGCCTTGATTTGGTGCCAAACAATTTATGAGACTTTTTGTGTGTTAGTGTGTGTTTTAAGTAAAATGTTATGTATCGCAGCTTTAAATACGGCATCAGATATTATGTTTATCAGATATTTGCCGTTAAACATACTAGTTTAAATATGATTACAATCTCAAAGTCAACAAGTTGGATTGAAGCCATTTTTAAGGACACTGAGAATGTGGCCCCAAAGAGAAGTAGAAACCGACCCAGGACCACGGACTAATGCATCTTTCTCATGTGGGCCTCGGTAACTTACATTTTCCTGTTGGCTGTAAACTAAAACAGATGGTAAAGCGAGTGAATGGCGAAAGGGAAAATTCACACACACACACACACACACACACACACACACACACACACACTGTAGCCTTACTATGAGTCTATGAAGAAAACTAATCACCCACATTACGCCCTAAACATTGGCCTGTGATTGGGACCAGACCTGCCTGCTATATCTGTTCTATACATTGACACCACACATGATGTAAGCAATGGCCAGAGCAAACTGCCCTAACTGCATGTGCAATCCAGTAGTGTTGAAATACATTTTGGCTCGGCAATCTTTGTTGTTCCTCGAGGCCTTTGCAACAACTATTATCCAAATTTGCAATTGCAACTCCAGATTTTTATTAGCAACAGAAGGTCCAAGAAAAAAGCATCCACCTCCTTTGGAAGTGGAGTTGGAAGGCTGATCCTTATAAAAAAACGATTCAACGCGGAATGATCAATGGGATTTTGTGATGGCTGAGTGATGTAGCGAGGCGAAGCAAAGAGGAAAGACAAGAGTTGTAAGTTTCAGGTAGTAAAAGTGTGTCTTTGTTTGTGTTTATACAAGTCTTACTATCTACAGCTGCAGAGGCTCACACAAGTTGAAAACAATGAGGCGTATTGTACAATAACTCTTCTGAGAATTATTCAATATTTGCCCCCGAGAAGTTATATTTGTTGCAAAGTATGAAACAGCAGGATTAGTACAGGCTGTTATTGTCAAAGGGCTGTTAAAAGCCCTCATGAATAATTAATGAAGACAATACATTATTACAACGACAAGCAATAAATAAACTCAAAGATGTGTAAGAGAAAGTTTGTTTCAGCTTTGATGTTTCATAGAGATTACATTTTGTTTATATACACAGAAATATCCAACGCTTTGTCCTGCCTTCACCTTTTAGGAACAACATATTTTGCAATCTTGTTTTAAAGATGTGTGCGTCACTTTATGACTATGGGCCTAAGTGTTTCGAGATCTAGTTAGATGCATGTTTTGAAATATGTAATTCCTTATTGCGATGTTTTTTGCATCTTATCCCAGTGAGAATTCAGAATCTATTTTTCAGCGTAGTCCTGGCCCCAGACATGGGGTGCGAGTGGGGCTGGGTGGACTATTGCACAAGTGTTTAGTGGAGGGGGAAATCACAGCACCCGGAGGACATAGGGAGAACATGCAAACTCCACTTTGTGCCCTGTGCTGACCAGGGTGCTGCTATGTTTTTTGCCTTGCCTATAATGTTCCAGTGCATGATATTAAGCAAGTCTGTCCATCTTACTGTATGTTTTATTGCTTTCAAATATCTGAGAAAATCTTGTTTGGGTTTTTTGTGGTACTCATATATAATAATCAGTCCTTATATTTTTGGGGACTGATAAGATCCCATGGAGTTATCTGCTCTCTGGTTTTGTAGACACTGATACAAGGGTGATATGTGATGCATTATGGGAAGGGAAATCAATATCTTTCCTAAGGAGAGGATCATTTGTTCTCAAAGCTGATGAACGAGATGAGATGAGTCTTTCAGCTAAATAAAGGGATCTTCACCAAAGTAAACATGTTCCTTCAGCCGTTTAATGACCATTTGGGAACAAACGAAGGGGGAAAGTAAACAGTCACATGCGTCACAACTGAAGAAACCTCACTACATCTCACTGTGCAGTGTCTGTCAGGCCTGGACCTCCCACAAGTGGCAGTGTTGGCGAGAGACTCAAGTGCTTCAACTGCATCCAAAAGAGATTTCTCATGATTCTAAATGGTGGATTTTGTGTGAAATGTGTAAGTTGAGATCAAAACATTTTTGTGACAGAAGTCATAAGTTTAATTATAATTACTACATTTCTTTCATTGATTGGATAGAGAAAGAAGTTGCAGTAAAGGAAAATTGACTCAACATTTATGTCAAACTATGTGAGAGAGATTTATCACTTCAGCATTTTAAGTTGTATTATCTTCAAATATTTTCTCTCTTTTTTGAATGTATTGTTTAAAATTCATGTGAATTTAATCTTGTCCTTCTTTGGACATTTTGCATTAGATTGTGCTTTTGTCTTGTCTTGTAAAATACGTTGCATGTTTAAAATTAAACAGACCGTCGATTATTGCTCTTAAAAAGAAACACCAGTTGACCAATTTAATTTAGTCACAAATCATGCAGCCACAAGTCACTCACTCACATTATGAGAAAAACATCCATAAAAGATTGTGCTGATTTTTTTAAAGATGTGAAACATATGAGGATGTCTTTCATTATTATGAAACTTCCAGTTGCATCAAATCAATCTATTGCAAAACATGAATCACGCGGATAAATAAATGAACCCTTTAGGCACCAGCGGAACTGCTACATGAGCTTCAGAATCCAGGACTAACATGGCTTCCCACAAAAATTTCCCTAAATTATTATCACAATTTTTTCATTCCTCTACTACGTTACATTTTATCTGTTTCAAGTACAATTTTGGGAAAAAACGCTGGCAAGAAAATGCGACATAAACGAAAATACTTACAGTAGGTAACAATTTGGCCAAAACTCTTGGAAGCTGAATTAACAATAGGGGCACATTGTGTAAAGGAAAAACAGCCTTACATACTTTTGACTTTTCAACAGCTTATTTTCTCTTTGACCATTGTTGCACGTCTTGTGAGGTGTAGGATTTAAGCACACCCGTGAGAGCCCATAGCAAACGTGGCCAGATATTCACAAAAATAATTTGCAGATTACAAAAAGTTGCAAGAACTTGTGTTAAATTTAGAAAGAGGAAGGAGAAGCTTTGTCTGGGTTAGGGGCAATCGCAGACAGTATAACATTTCTCAATTCTAAACGCGTGCATTTTGGGTCACACGTCTTGAACAGCGAGTGACCGAGCGAGGTGCCCCTGACGGACTCCAGGCCTCCATGCCTTTTCACTCAGACCCAGGCCTTTACT